GTGTGTGTGTCAAAGTGAGAAAGAGAGAGAATACTGAGAAGCTAATTCTAATATTTATATGGAAAAGAATCAAGAAGAACCTGGACAATCTTGGAAACATAAGAACAAAGTTGGAGAACTTCCTGTTGATTTAAAGAAATTCCAAGTAATAAAACTGAAAAGGGCAAGAAAATAAAAACAACGCTTACCTTTAGAAAGTGCAAGTGAATGATAATAACCACAAGCAACCTGTACTATCTGGATATCTGACAAACTTTTAATATTTCTAGAAAACAAGAAGAGATAAGGATGATCTGTTAATTCCATTTAACAAATGGATTCTCAGTGCTATTTATTTACTATTTAATATGTGCAAGTAGATTTTTTTTTAATTGATCTAGCAGGTCATACTATTTTTTCATACAAGCCAAATTTACCAAAATTTTATGCTAAAATCAGTAAATAAGATATATATACGAGAAAAAGTAAAAGGTGTGATGAGAAAACACCTTGGAAAGACAATATTTAAACAAAATGAACTCTGCTCACACCTTAAGTACTCCTCAGAGTACTTATAATTCAGATGTTTTATTATCAAAATCTTTTTTAAAAATCTTTAGCTTAGAGTATGAAACTTGGCAATACACTAATAAAGCAAATGTACATCATCTAATTTTGTCTACAATTGGTATTTTGCCTGGTTTAATGTATGTTCCCCTTTATCACGTTCCTTAAGAACCAATAGGGATTCCTATCATGTTGTTCTACCAATTCACAAATTATGAAACATTATTACTTTTAGGCTATCCTTTTGCTTTACATCTAAATTGGTGACATTCAATTTTTTTATTAGGGAAAATTTAATCAATTCACATTTATAATAATCACTATGGTGTTAAGGCTTATTTTCTGCTATTTTGTGTTTTGTCCTTATACTTTTGTAATTCCTTTTCCCTTCTTTTCTGATTTTAGTTTAACTGCAATGCAATTCTAAAGGCTAATTTTTGAAACATTACAAAAATCAATTAATCCTGTGCATCAACCACCCCCAAAATCTTCTTATGTACCTCCCCTTTACCTGGTCATGCTACTGTTGGTCCTGAATGAATGCTTTCAAGAAAAAAAAGGGGGGATGGGGAAGGAAACATACTATGTTTCTTATTTCCCTTTACCTGATACTGTCACCTGACCTGATTCTGCCATATGAGAGTCCGGAACAAGTTCTGAGCAGAGTGTCGAAACCCCTGATTTTCGAGAAGCAGCTTCAGTAAATCAAATTTTGAGTAGGAAAACGGAGAGTTACTCTAATTCCATATTGTATTAAAAATATTTTTATTTAGTGGATTTATGTTCTTAACTACAAAACCTGAGAGTTGTACTGCTACAATTTAGCAGAATCGAATAAATTAGGAGGATCCAATGCACCTTTAAATTTTCAAATGTTACAAAATGTCATTTTTCTGCAATAGTAAAATCAAACACCAGCAATACAAAAAGAGTAAGGAATAAAAAATACATGGCAGCTACTCAGGAGGCTGAGGCAGGAAGATCCCCTGAGGCCAGGAGTTCAAGACCAGCCTGGGCAACATAGCGAGAACCTGTCTCTAAAAAATAAAAGATAAAAAAAATATTTTAAATAAAAAAAATTTAAAAAAATACATGGTCATGTACAACTGTGCTGAAGTTACTAAACATTTACTGTTACTGCTTATGCATATTAGGCACACCATATATTGGTCTGTTCACTATATTAAATATTGTGGGAGAAAAAAAAAAACTATTCCATGTGTCAAATACAATTTTACAAATAAAACATTTCAAAATACTACGTTCTCATGTCATCCTATGTTTTTTCCTTCATAGCATTTATCACTATTAATTATGAGTGTACCTGTTCATTTAATGTTTGTCTCCTTTGCTAGACAATAAGCTCTGGGAAGGCAGACTATGTGTCTTACACCCACAAGAATCCTTAGCATCCACCACAGTGCCTGGCAAATGGTATGTAATGAATACACTGTTAAAGAATAAATGAACTTGTAAAGTGTTGGAGACTTTAGTATTAAGTTAGTCATAAAGTTTGCCAAAAAATCTCTAAATTTGCATAGCAATTTATACTCAGTGATTTTCTTTTCCAAAATACTATCCTAAGGCTTACAATACAACACAAATGCTAATTTCATTAGCCATATCTACTACAGAGAAAATATATTCTTCTGTGGCATTACTATGTTAAAGAAAAAATTACCACTTTTCATCTTCATATAGATTAATACCCTGAAGATGGGAGAGGGAGGGTGTTTGAACTTTTTGTTTTTTCTTTAAGCTTTCAGAAATAAAAAAGGAAGAAAGTTAGTATGAATGGTAAAACTTAATTTACCAAATTGGTTTCCCATGTTTCATTTTTCCTAAAAAGGTAACAAATTAGAAAATAATTAAAGAGAATTTTGTAGAATTCATCAAAAGTAATCCCTTTGTCAAGTAAAAAAGATAATGTAAATGTTTAATAGTTTTTAATTTTTAGAAGGACTCAAATGGACATAACAGAAAAGTAAAAATAAGCCAGAACAATTTGTAAATTAAAATATATAATATACACACATATGCAAAACATGAAGATTCCCAATTAATCATATCTACGAAAAAAATCAAAATTCAGACGTCTAGAGCAAACTCTCTAAATTTAAAAATTTAAAATAACTCTCTAAAGTTTAGAGTGTGCCAGACATTTTAAATGACTACTAAAATGATCCATTGTAAATAACTGAATCATTTCTTGAATGAATCTTGAAAGCAGTCTGAAATTTGTAAGAAAACAGTTAACACACTTGGAAATAAAATTTATACACTCTTCCCTTGGGACTCTGCCAAGGCATATTAATTGTTGAATATGTATATTCTTGTATTCTTCTATTTTTCCAACTTAATGTATAGTGGCAATATAGGCAGAAACCAGGCATTGCCAGTTGTGTTTCTGAAGCCAAAGTCCAACAAATAATGTTAACTAGTGAAAAGTTTATATAATTAAAAAGCTTATATAATTAAAAATTTGTGGAACTAAAGCATTAAATATTTTCCCAATAAAATATAATTATTAACAATTTTCTATTTCCCAGTTATCCTAGTCATTTATGAAAAATCTTTACACCAACTTTTTTTCAATTTTGAAAAATTTAGCCTCCACCATTAAGAAATACTCTTTCTTTTTAATCTAAAATGTTCTTAATTTTCAGATGCTAAAATGAGGCAGAAACTGTAATGTTTAAAAGTATTAAGAAAATAAATTTTATTTTTGACCAAATTCACAAAATTCAAATGTTTAATTAGTTCATATAGTTCAGAAATTGCTGTACTCACGAGACTCATTTTACTCTATCCTGCCATAATTTTTAATGCATATGTCCAAGAAGAACTTTAAAGAATAAACTACAACTTTATTGCCAACAATTGTTTTTCTAAAGTTTGTGTGGAAAATTAACTATTTCCACTGAGATTAAACTAAGATAGTAAAATTAGGCTTAACTTTTTTAATA